TGTTAACGTTCCACGGTCTTTCCTGATATTTAATAATTATTATGTAAAATCGGTATTATTTTGCAATTTAAATATTCTGACCAATCATTATTTTTGCTTACGTCACACATGTTGCATCAAACAAGAAAAAACATGAACTTGATTTGACGAATGGTTCATCAGTCATATTTCTTGTTGAGCTTACAAGGTATTATATAAAGATTTTAACAAAATGCTTATTTTTTGTCATATACCTTTTTTATAGCTGTTTTGATTTATCTTTATAATGATTTAGATAGTACTTCTTCAAAGCAATACATAGCACTTTTGAAACAATTATCGCAATGATGAATTACCTTCTGCCAAGTATTCTGCACAATACATCAGCCGAGTGCGATCCTCTTTATGCTGGATTATTTTTATGTGATTGCTAACAATAATTGCATTTACACCTGCAGTACGCACAATTTGGTGCCATATCTGAGATTAGTATACGATTACTGTTCGACGCATTATATGATTCTATTGAGTAGTGACGGATCCAGAGAGTTGTTTTGGGGACGGGGGGAGGGACGATACGATGAAATGTGAATATGTAGTTATTATTATCGTTAATGTTATTTTTAATATTTCTTATTATTTAAATAAAAATTGAGTGAATATTATTTAGTCTCAAATAATTTCTGATAATTTTTTTTCTCATTTCATTTAAAACCGACTTTTTCCAATATACGAAATTTGTTTGAAGAGCTCTGGAGGGAGAGGCGATCGCCCCTCCGCCCCCTCTTGTATTCACTTGATTTTTGTAAGCTATACATTTTTAAAACAATTAGCAAAAAAAATCTTGATAACGCGAACTTAAAACTATTTTTCTATAATGGAGATATATAAAATGGCGATTACGATTCCCATTGTTTATACTCAAGCTTGAATCGATCAAGAAGGATAAGCTAGAATGATATATGGAAATCGACAAAAACTTACTTGATCAAGCGCAAAGAAATTATTACCTTGCAACAGATCACTTTGAGATTATATTGTTTCGAGACGAAATTCAGGTACCCTTTATATTACACTGTCAATTTATGGTATTATTTTGTATTCTTGTCAAAAGAAATGCAATTAGATTATCTCGTGATAAGGTAATATTTTATATTACTGTACGTTACGAATCTTTTCTGTTCATAGGATAAGGTAGTACAATTCGACATAATATTTGAATCTAATTTATAAGATTAAAATTTGGTAAATAATTTTATTGTGTAAAGTTTAGTACCCTTCACAATAAGATCGTTTACCAAATTTGAATCTTAAAAATAGATTTAAATCTTATGTCGTTCAGAATTGTACCATGTTTGAAATTGTATAATCTTACTCTCAGACACGTTTTTACTATGTTAAAGAAAAATTGACTCTCTCTCTCTCTCTTTCAACAGAAAAAAATATGATAATATAAATATACTGCTAAGTGATAAATGAGTTATAAACAGACAACCGACTAATTCATATTACAGTGTAATTTATTTTATAGCATCGATAGTATTAATATTAATAAATGAAATTTTTGTTTGTTTGTATTGTTATTTGTTTGTTATATATTTTGTACCAGTTTAATGCACTTGACAACTGCTTTATTTTTTGTCAGCATATTATACTTTAAAATCGGTTAAGACGTTGCTATGTTTTAGATAATTTTAATGTTTACTTGACATAATATACAATGTCAATTTATATATTAATATTAATAAGAGAGCAGATATTAGTTAGATATTAATATAAGTTGATTATACGTTTTTTTTAAATTAATTCATCAAAAAGCTAACTAAAAGAAAACTTGTTTAAATTTAGATTTTTTCAAAATTTATGCAATTGCGCTTCACTATTAGTGCATAGTAGAAAAACTGGATAACTGCTTTTTCGATTTTTCCTGAAGTTCTGCTTCCTTTTCTGGGCTCATATTCTTCGCAAGATCGAGTATCTTGCCGATCACTTTATTAAAAATTTTTTGGAAACTTGAGAATCTTAAAACGTAGCGCAATAGAAATCTGAAACAATTAAAATAATAATTCTATAAAAATATACATACTTTTAGTACTTTGTAATACATAGTTGTTTGACAGAATTGATATTTAATATTCGAGGATCTTGAACGGCGCGAGCGTTACGGGATAAATTAAGTATCTATATGTATGCTCACTTCCAACTTTTATAAGTAATCCATTCCGTGTAACTCATTGACGCATACAAATACGGCATGTTTATATTTAACGTATCCATAGCAAGTAATATCATCATTTTGTAAGGTACATAAATCAAGGGATAGTAATTTATTGATTCGATGATGCATCTCGTCATGTGCTCCCATTCGGGCGTAACTTCCTTAAAATTAGGTAATATCCAATATTCATGAAGATCTCGAGTGCGCTGCTTTATTTCCTCGAGACTGCCGCGGCAGAAGTTGTGCCTGAGGAAATTATATTTTTATAGGATATTATAATTTTATAGGATATAAAAGTTTTGGAAAGGGCATTCTAAAACGTTACTCCTTCATTTTTTACTAGCGCTAGAAGAATATATATACTCATCCGCCATCCCAAGATAATATCCGTAACATCTCCACATATGGCAAAACGCTTCAATGTCTTCATCGGTCGCATTATGCACTCCAATCTTTTGCGGACAAAGCAAAACTAAACCTACAAAACTGCACTGTATGCTTGCCATGTCCGCATTATTTACGCCTTTCGGCTTGTATGGCGATTTGTCAATCACGACATAAGGACGTTGTCCGTCTTTCTCAAGTGGACACGCCGCGGCG